CATTTATGATGATGATGATGAGGAGGAAATTCTTGTATTGATCGCAGCCGTATATGAGTACTATTATAAACATTTTGATAAACAACGTTGTAGGGATTCCATGTTACAAGGGGAAGATTACATATTCGAGGTCTTAAATGGACATGAAGATAGGTGTTATGAAAATTTTCGGATGTACCCCAACACCTTTAGGGCATTGTGTCGTGAGTTGAAATTGTTAGGATTGAAAGATTCAACATTTCTAACGGTGGAAGAACAAGTTGCAATTTTCCTACTTACCGTGTCTCACAATGAAAGGAATCGTGTCGTTGCTGAAAGATTCCAACACTCTACATCCACAATTTCATATCACTTTCATACTGTATTAAAGTTAATTTGTGAGTTAGGGACTAAGATTATTGTTCCCCCGGATTTGAATGAAATTCCTAAAGAGATAAAGAACAATCCAAAGTTTTACCCATACTTTAAGAATTGTGTAGGAGCCATAGATGGTACTCATATCCATGCTGTAGTGCCAGTTGACCAACAAATACCCTTCCGTGGTCGAAAGGGTGATACGACTCAAAATGTCATGGCCGTGTGTTCATTTGATATGAAATTCACATACATTCTAGCAGGGTGGGAAGGGTCTGCTAATGATTCGAAGATTTTAAATGAGTGCATTCAGAATGAGGATTTCAATTTTCCATCACCACCCGAAGGTAAAAATATTAAGTTTTCATATTTGTGCATTTTACATTACAAATACGTTAACTTTAATACTTAACATACTTAATATGACAGGTAAGTTTTATTTAGTCGACTCTGGGTACGCCAATCAACCGGGGTTTTTGGCCCCTTACCGAGGTCAACGTTACCATATGCAGGAATATCGTAGACATACTAGAGGACCACATGGTAGAGAAGAGGTGTACAATTTTAGGCACTCGTCATTGAGGAATATCATAGAGCGATGTTTTGGGTTGGTAAAGATGAGATTCGCTATATTGAAGCAAATGCCCCCTTATCACTTTGACACTCAAGTTCTTATTGTCATTGCCTGTTGTACATTGCATAATTTCGTAAGATCCCAAGGTGAATCTGATGAAATTTTTGATTCTGAAACCCCTCAATCTTCACAAAATGAACTTGATGTGGATGACGATGTTCAGGTGGTCAGTGCTACTAATACACAGATACGACAGATGGATATTTATCGTGATGGTATTGCCAACCTAATTTGGGAGCACTGTAATCACTAATTATAAAACTGTCTAATAGTGTGTAGAATTAAAATATGGATGCCTGTAATAACTAATTATATTACGTAAATTAAACTCAGATGCTCCTTATTTATGGATAACTGTAATAACTAATTATATTAGGATATCAAATATTAAATGCTTTAGTACTTGTAGGCGCACTTATGTATAGGCTTGAAGGTGAGCGACCACAATGTGCATGTGGTAGAGGTCCTATGCATCTGTATAGGGCTCGAACTCCAAAAAATGATGGTCGACAATTCTATAGGTGTCCGGCTCGAGAGGTATGGTCAATTACTTTTAGGTGCTATTTCTGTTACTGTTTCCTAATTGTATAATTTATATTTCTTGTAGTCACATATGAATGCATTTATGTGGGTGGATGAGTTGCACCAAGGTGCACAAGTTGAAGAACAGGTTCAATCTGACTTGGACAGAGTCATTGCAATGATTCAAAATGAACAATGTAGACAGAAGTACATGCTCTTCCTAGGTTGTGGATGTCTTGCTATCACAATCATATTTATTGTGATTGTCCTCTTGTTGCTCATTATCGTTGTTATTGAAAGATGAAGTTAGATAAACTTCCATCTTTTGTAATATATGACATGTAATATGTATTTAGTTAATTTCCTGTGTTTCATTTGGTATGTAATATATACTTAAATGGTATATTTTGAACTACGTATTAGTTGTTGTTGTGTTATCTTCTCTGTCATTTTGGGAGTGAGCTTTAGGGTATTTGTAAAATTTGCTACTGAGGTCATTTACACTCTATTTGCGACATTAGAGAAAAAAAAAGGTTAGATATATCTTGTTTACTACTTCTAATTATTTCATTCCTACCGTGTGTTATTTTGTTTTTCTCTAATGTTGTTCATGTCTTTTGTTTTGCATGAGGTCATTTACACTTTAAATTTACAACTAAGCTTGAAAAAAGGTTAGATATATCTTATTTACTACTTCTAATTATTTCATTCCTACCGGGTGTTATTTTGTTTTTCTCTAATGTTGTTCATGTCTTTTGTTTTGCATGAGGTCATTTACACTTTAAATTTACAACTAAGCCTGAAAAAAGGTTAGATATATCTTATTTACTACTTCTAATTATTTCATTCCTACCGGGTGTTATTTTGTTTTTCTCTAATGTTGTTCATGTCTTTTGTTTTGCATGAGGTCATTTACACTTTAAATTTACAACTAAGCCTGAAAAAAGGTTAGATATATCTTATTTACTACTTCTAATTATTTCATTCCTACCGGGTGTTATTTTGTTTTTCTCTAATGTTGTTCATGTCTTTTGTTTTGCATGAGGTCATTTACACTTTAAATTTACAACTAAGCCTGAAAAAAGGTTAGATATATCTTATTTACTACTTCTAATTATTTCATTCCTACCGTGTGTTATTTTGTTTTTCTCTAATGTTATTCATGTGTTTGGTTTTGCATGAGGTCATTTACACTTTAAATTTACAACTAAGCCTGAAAAAAGGTTAGATATATTTGTTTACTACTTCTGATTATTTCATTCCTACCGTGTGTTATTTTGTTTTTATCTAATGTTGTTCATGTGGTTTGTTTTGCATGAGGTCATTTACACTCCAAATTTGCAGTTTAGCCTGAAAAAAGGTTAGATATATCTTATTTACTACTTCTAATTATTTCATTCCTACCGTGTGTTATTTTGTTTTTCTCTAATGTTCTTCATGTGTTTTGTTTTGCATGAGGTCATTTACACTCCAAATTTGCAGCTTAGCCTGAAAGAAGGTTAGATATATCTTGCTTGAATTAAATTTGTGGACGGTGTCCCTTGTTAGTTGAATTTTGTGGGCGGTGTCCCTTATTGAAATAATTTTGTGGGCGGTGTCCCTTATTAAATGAATTTTGTGGGCGGTGTCCCTTATTGAAATAATTTTGTGGGCGGTGTCCCTTGTTAAATGAATTTTGTGGGCGGTGTCCCTTATTGAATTAATTTTGTGGGCGGTGTCCCTTGGGTTTATTGTGTTTTGAAATTTTGGAAATGTCCATTTTTAAGGGGAAGTCATGCCGGATTTTTTAAAAAAAAAATAATAAAAATTTAATTTAACTCTGCTTTATATTTTGCTACTATAGGTAATGTCTTGTTTTACATTCAAATTCATTTTTTGCTACTACATTGAAGGACATGGCAGTAAGTTGTAGGCAGTGGCACCAGCGGGATTGATAGGAAGCATTCTCTAGTTGCTGCAACTCCAGAAAGCTAGTGATCTCTAAGTTAATCAAATGGAGGCCTATGCAAGTATAAAAAAGTGGGTGTACATTTTATGGAATGAATATTAGTGATCTCCAATTATGTGTATATTTTTTGTAAGTGTAATAAAGTGTGTGTGTACTTTCAAATATTTTAAAGGAATGTCTAGCTTCTTATATGTGGAAGTATATATGTGAATGATGCAACACTCAAGTTCTTAAGATTGTGATGTATAAAGCAAAACTATACGTGGAAGTATATATGTGAATGTCGTTCAGTCTTGTAAGAGGGATCTTCCTTGATTGCTTACTTTTAATCTTTATTCATATTTATCAATTCTGCTTATGGTTGGATATTGTATGAAATATTCACAAGTCCGTTATCAAAATAAATACTCAACAAAAGGGGAAATGGTCTTATGACTAAACAAAAAAAAATATTACCAATTTGAAGGACCTCCACTGCAAAATTTCAAACTAATCTAAGTGAAGTAAAACTATTTACAAGCTTCAATGTTCACCAAATTTCAACTCTGACCAATTCAAGACGATTAACGTTTTGGCTTTCTTTCTTGTTAGTTTTAACTACAAGGATCTCTCTCTCTCTCACATTCTTCATGAATATATATATATATATATATATATATATATATATATATATATATATGAAACAAAACAAAGTTAAATGGAATGCAAGCCAAAAGAAAAAGATAAATGGAGTGCAAAGATCTACTCTCATTAAAAGATTATTACAAAGTTAGATTTGTAATTTGGTTGCCATTAATCATGTTTATGCAGATTTATTCATTATTACAAAGTAGTTTGGTTGCCATTATACTTGTAAATTTAACAAAAAAAAAATTTCCCAACTCTAATGCAGATTTTTTTTTTTTTTTTTTCCATAAATTATTTCAAATCATAAAGAAAAATGGACTATTTTACATATAAACTTATAATTGTATTCATATATATAATTTTTCAAAACAAAACAAAACAGTCTTTACCAAACAGGTATTCTGTTATTGATTCAGAATTTTTAATAACAAAACACTATTCTCAAACGTGTTTTGTTTTTGAATTTCTTAAAACGCATGACAATACCAAACGCGTTATCATGTTTCTGATATACAATTATTAAAAACAAAACAATCGTTACCAAACATGGATCCGATTTCTACTAAAAACATACCAATATCAAAACAGTTGTTTTCATATCGTACCAAACCATAACATATAACGTTATCGCCATCCAAACGGACCCTTAGGGATAGTCAATTTGATATCTCACCAAACCTCAGAAACCCGTCCCTAAAAATGTTTCTTTTTGGCACAGTCTATCTAAGACCGTCCCTAATTCCACCAAAAAAAAATAGCGCCAAACTTAGCGCTTCAATTTTTTTTTTGTTTGGCGCTATTGTACGCGGGCAAAAATGAAACATATAAAATTATTTTATTTTACAAAATAGGGAAGCCCATCAAACTACGTCGTTTTAATCTAAAAAAATTTAGTAAACCCTATATCATTTGCAAACCTCTTACACCGTCACAAACCTCTTCAGTTCTTCGATCTCAAAAGTTGCAGACGTCTTCCACCGGCACGAAATCTAAAGACCTTACCTCTTAATCAAACATTCTTTGGGCTTGATTTTCACCCAATTCAATACCTCCTGTTCAAAACGTCTTCAATCTTCAGCGAATCACAAGATCATGATCCTGAGGTACAACGTTTTTATTTTTTAAAAATTTTAGGGATTATTCAAATTTAAGCCTCTTTCTTCGATTTTCAAAGAACCTCCATGTTCGATTTGACGTTCATATAACCCACTTGGGTTTCATGATCCTCACCCTAGTTTTTTCTAGGGTTTCAAAATTGCAAAAGGCCTAACAATTGAAGGGGTAAATTACAAATCTGGAAAAGGCTTGTCGTATGAGTCTGAATCGCTATGGAAAATCATACAGGTTTTTTGAACTTTCTATCTTTATTAATTTATCCCTTATATACATATAAATATATATGTATATATATCCTTTATATACATATACACTACAAGAAAATTAATATTTTATAACCTTTAATTGACGACATGCATAAAAAAACAAGTCGTCTATGTGCTAATTCACAAGTTATTTTTCAAGCAAGTCATTAAAAGCTAAAAATTGTTGTTATATTGATGGCTTGCACTTAATTTTCCTTTCAAGTTTCTTTTTAAGGTCTAGATCTAGGGAAAGCTTGAACTCAATTCCAATATTTGATTGTTGCTTAGGAGCTGCTCCTACTTAAGAAGATGAGAAGAAAATTGCCCCTTTCTGACTTTCCTTTTTCTTCAAGAATCTTGTACTTTGCTTTCTTTTGTTATAGCTTGTGGAGAGTGCGTTAATATGAAAGTGGACAGAGGATCAACGTCAGCGCTTGTTTCTCGGCTTCCACTAGGTAAGTCTATATATTCTGTAAATTTTAATTTCTTGCTTACGTTTCTTTAATTATATCTACCTCTTGGTTTAGTTTTTCTATTAGTCTTTGATTTTAATTTCTATCTCCTTAGGCTTGCTATTATCCATCGCAGCTATTAAATTTTAATTTCTTGCTTATTTGGAAACTTAACTAGATTCTGATTGTGATTTTCTATTTGGTCTTTAATGTAGTCTAAAATATCACCTATTTTTTTGATGGAATTTCTTTGCTAATAGAGTAACAAAAAACAAAAGTCTGAAAGGAAGGTATCTATAGAAACAGACTGATAAGAATGATAATGACAGATAAGTCACATAATTCTAATGCCTCTTTGTTCTTGCGTATAAGTCTTTATATTGACTTAATGGCATTCAACTTTAGAGGTATTTCTTTCTCCTTTGTCTTTAATATCTTCGATCTTTAAGCATATCTTCTTTAAGTGTTGTGTGATGTCTTGAAACTTTATTAATATTATTTGATTTGTATTATATATTGAGTTATACCAAAACTGAAATTTAATTTATTTTATTACTATTCTTTGATTGATATAGAAATATAGGAATTTTTTTATTTAAAAAAAAAAAAAAAAAAGTAGAAAAGAACAAAATTTGATTTCTGGCCGTTGAAAATAAAAATTTAGAATTAAAAGAATTAGAAATGAAAGAAAGATTCATGAGTTATGGAAGAAAATGTAAATATGAGAAGTAGGTGGGTTAAATTTAGTTATATTTTGTTATAACTTGTACTTTGCTTTCTTTTGTTATAGCTCTTTTATGCTTATTTCTGTGAATTATTTTGAAACATTAATTGGAAGGCTGTAAACATACTGGGGTTTATTTATTTTTGTTGATTTAGGTCAATCAAATGTGTTTGATAATGGGTCATCCAGAGATAATTCTGATGATTCAATGTTCGATATTGAGAACCCTAAAAGGTCTGAGCTATCAATTCAACATCCAAGATCAAATGTGCATCAAGAAAATGACTCTCATGGGCTTTTAATCGAGCAACCCTTCAAGGTGAATCTAGCTAGCTGTCCTAATTAGTTTTCAAATTATTGTGTTCTCATCCTTATTAACAAGTAAATGAAATTTTCAAGCTCATTAATTCAACATTAATTTGTTTCCATTTGATATAATTTGTTGCTATGGGAAAAATAGGGAAAATAATTTTTTTTTTTTTTTTGGGAATGACAGTAAAATTCTAAGCCCATAAGTGGTCTGATAACATATTTGATTTGTTTTCATTCTTCTTGTGATTGTATGTATATCATACTAGTTATAGAGAAATCTATTAGTAGTGAAATAGTTTTTCTTGGACGATTACTGGTGTTAATTTCCAATTACTAAGAAGAATAGGAAAGAATGTTCCTAGTTGTGAGTTGGTTTTTGAGAACACAACAGAAAATAGATTATGGGATACATATCTTTTATCATAAATTCTAGCTTTTGTGCTATTTATTGTGAATATTTTTCTCCTTGAGCTCTTTTTTATTTGTTTAATTGTTTTAATTTCCCAAAAAATATATGTCGTAACATTTTTTCTTCTTATTTTAGCATTAATTATGGCTTCAAAATCTTGTTAGCAAGTATATATGCATCTATTAAAGACAGATAAAAATGTCATAAGTGAACTTGATTGTCTTAGACTCTTTAGGGGAAAAAAAACTTGATTATGTCTTATTTGTGTGAATTGTGAATCATGTCTCCATTAATATATATATATATATGTACACACACACACACATTAGAGTAGTTGATCTATCTATTCATGACATTTCAGCACTAAAACTCCATGATCAAGTAATAGTATCTATTCAGTCTGGTTGAAAAGGAAACATAATACTAACACTCAAATTAATCACACTCTAGTCCTGCCATTCCATGACACATTGAAGAATCCCACTTGAGAAATGCAATATCTAAAAATGGAGATCTCTTTTTCCTTGGATTTTGTGGGCTTAGATAAGGCTATTAAAAAGGGCCCACAAATAGGAAACTTAGTGTCAAAACTAAACCCTGTGATGAACCCTTTTGTGGAAACCTTGGGACTAAAGTTATGTGTCTTATGAAATTTCCGTGGTATCGTGTTTTATGTAATGGGGTAATGGGCTATCACATTGGTAGAGTAGTAGTTTCAACTTTATTTCAATCAGCACTAAATGTAAAGGGAGAGAATTATTTATACGAGCAAAGAAGAGAGTAAAAAGATAGCTTTCTTTCTCAATTTGCTTTTTTCTTATTCTGCCTAGCCTTCCATTGATAGCAAATATTATCTCAATGCACTAGTTGGTAGTAGGGAGGCTTGGTTCCATGGTCATGCCAATAAACTAAGGGATTTTCAAAAGAGAACTTTAAAAGAACTATAGCTTACATTGTTTTTTTTTTTTTATTGAAATTCAAATATTCAGACATGGTCCCAATCATTCATTGGTTTGTTTCTTTTCTTTTTGCTTTTACTTTGTTAGCCTATTCTTTATTTGGAAAAAGATGTGCCAAACCTTGACCACGAAGAATATCCATTTCCAGCAAAGGGCTTGAGCATGACTTAGGACAGGTTATACACCTAATTTATTTATTTATTTATTTTGTTTATACTCATGTCAAATACTTGTAATTTTTTTTTTAATACAGAAAATTAAAAAATTACCAGGTTAAGAGATCAGGTTTTTTGTTTCAGGGTTAGAAACTTCCTGATATGATGTTTACTACAAGGTGCAGCATATCTAATGCATGCACTTCTATAGCTAAACAACTTGAGAATGTTTACTCATCGGTTTCGGTAAGTTTATTTCCTCATAACTAGTCCGTCCTTAATTATCATGTTAAGGTTAATACTTAATAAAGCAGTTCTAGTAAATGATGAAATTATTTATGCAACAACACCACCTCGATATTCACATGTCATAAGGAAAATGATGTTTGTTGATAGTTAGTGTTTTATGTTATGTGTTGCTCTGATGTACTGGAGATAGGTAGCTCAGCTCAGTTTATCCTTTGTGATATGATTCCGGTCCAGAATATAGTAGGTCCTCCGCTAAGCATGGGAAGCACCTTTGGTTTGGAAGAGAAATTGGATACAATTCAGAAGCTACTTGAGCAACAACAGCAACTGCAGCAACAACATTTTCATGACTGCATTTAGTTTAAAATGATGTTTTAATTTTTGAGGATGTTTGAAACCATTTGATGTTAAAGCAGTTAGTAGATACTTTTTAGTTCTTGTTTACAAAATTAGAGAATTTGTAACTTCTTTGTGAGATTAAGAGCTCGTTTGTTGGCACTGTATTGTGGTGATAATATATTTTTTTCTTTCTAGAATGATATTGTGGATATTTGTACTTTTTAGTTACAATGTTTTGATATATAAGGTGGATGTCATTTAGTAGTTTTTCTATAACACAAATCCAACAGAGGAAAAAAATAATAATAATAATAATCAAGTATCATAGACAGTATAAATGGTCACAAATTTAATAATAATAATAATAATAATAATAATAATAATAATAAATCTTATTAGGGACAATACAAATTGTGCCTAATAAGTATTGTATTAGGGACAGGCAAGAAACTGTCTCTAATATATTAATTATTAGGGACAGTAAATACCGTCCCTAATAAATCAAAAGGGAACGGTCTTATTTGTTACAGTAAGTCTGTCCCTAATAAGTCAAAGGGGGACGGTCTTATTTGGGACAGTAAGTCCGTCCCTAAAGGTTGATTTTTTTAGGGACGGACAATTTTTACCATCCCTAAAAAGCTTTTGTGACGCAACTATTAGGGATGGTCAAATTCGATCATTAGGGACAGTATTAGGGCTTTTAGGGACAGAATGGACTGTCCCTAAAAGCCAAATTTCTTGTAGTGGTGCATTGATTACCGAAAACTAAACTCTACCACTAGGAAGGATCATTTTCCACTTTCATTCATTGGTCAAATCCTAGAGCGGTTAGCCGGCCAAAGCTACTACTGTTTTCTTGATGGTTATTCCGGCTATAACCAAGTGGCAATTGATCCACATGATCAAGAGAAGACCACATTCACATGTCCCTTCAGAACATTTGCCTATAGACGCATGCCCTTTGGGCTATGCAATGCACCGGCTATGTTCCAAAGATGCATGATGTCTATATTTTCGGATATGGTTGAAAAATTCTTGGAAGTATTCATGGACGATTTTTCCATCTTTGGCTCCTCCTTCGATTCATGGACGATTTTTCCATCTTTGGCTCCTCCTTCGATTCATGTCTCCACAATCTATCCCTTGTGTTTCAAAGATGCAAGGAGACAAATCTAATTCTAAGTTGGGAGAAAAGTCACTTTATGGTCCAACAGGGCATTATCCCAGGACATGTCATTTCAAAAGGGGGAATTGAAGTTGACAAGGCCAAAGTGGAGTTAATTTCTAATCTTCCTCCTCCAAATTCGGTCCATCAAATCTGTTCCTTCCTTAGCCATGCCGGTTTCTACCGTCGATTTATCAAGGATTTTAGCAAAATTTCTCGGCCCTTGTGTAATCTTCTTGCCAAGGATGTTTCGTTCAATTTTGATGAAGCTTGTTTGGAAGCTTTCAAGAAGCTCCATTCTCTTCTCTCATCAGCCCTAATCATGAAACCGCCCAATTGGCCTCTTCCATTTGAGATCATTTGTAATGCATCTGATTATGCATTAGGTGCGGTTTTGGGCCAGCGTGTGGACAAGCTTCCGCATGCTATCTATTACGCTAACAAGACACTCTCCGATGCCCAGTTAAATTACACCACCACTGAAAAAGAAATGCTAGTTGTGGTGTATGCCTTGGATAAATTCCGTTCTTATCTTCTTGGATCCAAGGTCATTATATTTTTGGACTATGCCGCCCTTAGGCACTTGCTCGCCAAAAAAGAGACCAAACCTCGCCTAATTCGATGGATACTCTTACTTCAAGAGTTTGACATTGAAATCTGGGATAAAAAGGGAGCAGACAATGTTGTCGCAGACCATCTCTCTCACCTACTCATTGAGAAATCCTCTGAATTTGCTGCAGTCCAAGATTCCTTTCCGGATGAACAACTATTTCAGATTTCCTATTCAAGTCTCCCTTGGTTTGCGGATATTGTCAACTACCTAGCAGTAGGCAAAATTCCCTCCAATTGGTCAAAACAAGAAAGAGACCATTTCTTCTCCCAAGTCAAGCATTTCTTTTGGGAAGATCCGGAGTTATTCAAGTATTGTCCGGATCAAATTATCCGGTGATGCATTCCCGAAACTGAAACCACAAGTGTCTTAAATTTCTACCACATGCTTGCTTGTGGGGAGACACTTTAGTGCCAAAAAGACAGCTAACAAAGTCCTTCAAAGTGGATTTTATTGGCCATCCTTGTTTTGGGATGCTTACAACTTCTGTAAGTCATGTGAGCAATGTCAAAGGCTTGGATCCATGTCTAGGAGAGACATGATGTCCCTTACTCCCATCCTAATTATTAAACTTTTCGATGTGTGGGAGATCGACTTCATGGGACTATTTCCATCTTCTTATGGTTATGAGTATATCCTTGTAGCGGTGGATTATGTCTCCAAAAAGGTTGAAGCCGAGGCTACCAAAACCAATGATCATAAAGTCGTGATCAGATTCATTCAGTCCAATACTTTTAGTTGTTTTTGTACGCCCCGAGCAATCATCAATGACGGTGGATCTCATTTTCAAAATCGTTACCTTAAATCCGTCCTCTCCAAGTACTCCATTATTTATAAGGTTGCCACACCTTACCATCCTCAAACGAGTGGTTAAGTGGAAGTATCTAATCGGGAAATTAAGCATATTTTGGAAAAAATTGTTCATCCGGACCGCAAAGATTAGTCATTGAGACTAAACGATGCGCTTTGGGTATACCGGATAGCGTATAAGACGCCCATCAGCATGTCGCCATATCGGCTTGTCTTTGGAAAAGCTTGTCATCTCCCAGTCGAATTAGAGCACCATGCTTATTGGGCCATAAAAAGGCTCAACTTTGATCTCAAATAAGCCGGTTCTACTTGCAAATTGTAACTCAATGAGCTTGAGAAAATTCGAAATGATGCGTATGAAAGCGCTAAAATCTATAAGGCAAAGACTAAAGCTTTTCATGACAAGCACATTGTCAACAAGTCTTTTGCCCCTGGACAGAAAGTTTGGCTTTTCAATTCTAGATTGAGACTCTTTCCCGGTAAACTCCGTTCACGGTGGGATGGTCCATATGTCATCACATCTGTCTTTCCTCATGGTGCAGTTGAGCTCTAAGATCCTACCGATGGATCTCTCTCTAAGGTTAATGGCCAATGGCTTAAGCCTTATGTTGATGGCATAGTCCCTATCCGTAAAGTAGAGAAGTCCTTTTAACGGACCCAATTTACGAAGATTGATACGCCATGCAAAGCCTGGTTCGTTTAGCTATCGACATTAAATTTAGCATTCATGGGAAGCAAGTCTTCCATCTTCCGAGCTTCCCTCTTCCAAGTGTCAACTGCCTAGAATTTTTCGGGAATTTGCTAAGTTTAACAAAAAATGTGCACTTTTCCGGAATTGTCTCATCTTGCATTCCGCGGCCACATTTGGGTTTCTTCAGCATTTTCTGGTCTCCATACCACGTTTGGAATTCTTTATGGTCATTTAGGCATTTGTCTTGTTTAATCCAAAAATTTAAATGCCATTCGGATTTCGTGACTCTCTCTTGGGCTGTTGATGCCAAATCCCGTTCTCGCTATCTTACACAGCAACTAGGATCCTCTACAATTCAAATTTCTTATTCAAGTTGCCTTTTATCTCATCCTGGCCCTTGCAGGCTGCAAAATGCTGCACAAGGCAGCATTTGAAGAGGCATCGCAGGCACCCGCCACAACCCTGCGGGCGCCCGCCAAATTGGGCAGTAGTTATCTATCATCTACGGAGCCCTTGCAACCTCCACGGGGCCCTGCTGAGCCCCCGCGCAGCTATCATGGGCGCCCGCAGTTCCTCGCAGGCGCCTGCCGTTTTAGGCAGTGTGTATGCCATCCCGCAGGCGCCCGCTGCCGTCGTTGGCACTTTAATGGGCATGTCAAGCCAATTTTTAAAAGCATAACCTCTCCCTCTCAACCCTTGCCCCACCCTCCTCAAACCTCAAACCCTTCACTTTTTCTCCCTCTATTTCCAATCTTCATCCATTCCCTTCATTATCCTTCCATTATCCATCTCAATCTTCCTCCTCCAATTCTTCTATCAACAAGCTCAAGAGGAAGTTTGTTCCACTATTCTTATTTTTTTTCTTCAATTTCATGATCAATGGAGGTTGGGAATCTTTTGTTGGAGGATTGGTGATTGTTGGATGATGATTGTATGTCCTTTATAGGTTGAAATTTTTGGGTTTTTAAGTTTCTAACCTCATTTTGTCCCTCTTCCCAATTCTTATGCACGCTAGATGTTGGTAAAAAGTCCTGAACCAATTTTCTTCCTTCCAATGGCTCCCAAAGTTGCGTCTAAGCGTGCTTGCTCGTCTGAGGGACCTTCCAATATGCCTCCAACTCTAGATTGGGTTGATTGGCCAATTGTCCCGGAAGCAAAATTCAACGTTGAGAATGATTTTGAGCAAAATCACGAGACGGCATGGTCAGTCCGCGAATTGAGGGCACGTGTCCTCGCATCGCTTTTCAAGCCACGCGCTCATGCTTACTACCCGCGCGTGGTTTATCTATTCTACACCAACATGTCACACCCATGTGCGGAACCAGACATCATCAAAACCACAATTGATGACGAGGAATTTGAATTCACTCTTGAGAACCTTGCCATGGCATTGGACTGTCCATTAGCATCCCCGGGAGATGAGGCGGGATGGCCTACACATGTTGAAGGTTTGGATGGGCTAACATTATCGGACATTGTGGGGGAGATTTGCCACAATCTATACACTGGCAATCAAACCACCAACACCAACAAATCCTTCTTACCATGCCTGCTATGGTTCCTTGATTCAGTGCTAGCCAAGAATGTCCTTCCCGTACCAGGCCATTCTGAGAGTAAGGGGGTTTTTATGGAAGCCCTCTATGCTATTGAGAAGGAGTATTGGTTTTCCGTTCCACAACTGGTATGGGGTCAAATCCTAAAAATCTACAATGAGCTGATTTTGGTAAGGTCAAGCAGCGCCACAAACTGGGCATTTCCATTCCCATATTTGATCACACGGTTGCTTAAAAACGTGAAGTTCAGAGCACCCCTTGGTGAGAAGAAAGAGGAGGATGTGTTTGATTTCAACCTTAGGGTCTGGAAGTCAAGCACGGTTCAGCTTAAGACGTCCTGTCAGGCCCGCCTAGGGGGTGAGTTGGAT